ATATTTTGTAATAACTAGGATTAGATTGTAATACTTAGGATTTATAAAGAGAAAAAATTTTCAATTTATCTAATAAACTAATTTTTTATATTCACTTAATAGTAGAACTTTCGTGTCAAAAGACAGCATTGGCTGCCAATGTGTTAAACAATCGAGAACAAGTGGAAATTTTTTGTCCACTGAAGAGAAATTTTAATACATAAAATTCTTTGAAATTAAACTCTATGAATCTCGATTTTTTTTATATGCTTAGAATTACTAGGATGTCCTTATTTCTTTATATATCGTATTGCATAGAATGCTGTATTTCTTTACATACTGTTTAATTTCACTATAAAATAACTAGATCCTAGTAATATTTTCATTTTTTTTTACACAGTGTATTTCGTTTTAATACTGATATTGAAATAGCAGATTTTTTAATATAGTTTATTTCTTTTTAATAAAAAAAATGAGTTTTTAAAAAAACTGCAATAATATCCGTTGAAATTGTAAAATTCGAGAATAATTTTTAAATTTATAAATATTATTTACATAATAAGATATTCATTACTTATAATGGAATTACAATAACAGAACGAAAGAGAAATGCAAATGCTGTTTGCAAATGGCACAGTGGTTAATATTTTTTTTATCAATCTATTCTATTTTGCCACAACAAGATCTTAATTATGCACTTAATAAGTATATGTGAGATGTAAATACAAATTTTATCATGAATTATTCTTCTGACCATGTAAACATATTTCATAAACGTTAGAACAAGGAAGATTTATGTCTAGAAAAGTTTCAATCGAATATTTACACACATATTTACTCCTCGAATTGATCTTATGAAATGATTAAAAGAAATGAAGCAATAAAAAAGAGACTCTACTTTTTATATATTTTTCTTGTATATTCAATCTTATATTATTTATATATAATATTACAAATATATATTATTTAAATATATCTAATTTTACTATTTGCATATTAAAAGTGCATATTTGTTGTCTATCTTTAAAAAAAATATGAACATTTTACAAATCATTTGGTATAAAAAGAGATCAGTTCTATATAATTATAACGATTTTGCAATATGGAAAAATGTAACTTTTCGTAAACGTAATAAAACTAAAATTTATTAAATATCATAAAATATCGATTATAACATTGATTTATTTTTAATTCTATAAAAAAAATCACTTATTTAAAATTGCAAAATTTATTAACGGATTAAAATTGGCAAAAAAAGATTGGAGAAAAAAATCCCTAATTTTATGATGAATCGAAATGATTTTATAATGAATTTTTATTCTATAACAGTAGTTTTTAACTGTAATTTTTAAAATTACAACACTCTTTTTTCATATTTAAATAACTTGCCCTTCTATATATAAGTAACTCATTTCCATGTAAAGTAAAGAAAATTGAAAAACTGATTTTATGATAATGATATAGACGACACTGTTTTTTGAGTCAACTTTAACTAAGAAAAACATATCTTCACAGAATATGGTAACGAAATTATTATTAACTCTTAATGGTTGACAGATTTTTTGATATGTTTGATGTGCATTTAGTTCTTTCAACTATGAAGAATTAAAATAAATAAATGCTAAAAGGCTTGAATGAAACAGAATTCTTTTCCTCGAGCTTTGTCGCATTTCTTCTCAAATACTTCATCTGACAAATCGTAATAAATAACTCATAAATGATAATTTAAGGTCAACGATGTCTTAACGACTTTATTAGTCCTCTTCCCGTAATTATAACTCGTTCATTAATCACGATAGCGACCTCGGTTCCAGGGTGAAACTATTGATCTCGTTATTATATGCTATTGCATCCATACTTTGAGTGATTTCACGCGAGAATTAATTACTTACTTCTTGTAACTTAATGAAAAAAATTAATAAAATTGTATTATTAAATTGAGAATTTACAAATGATAATTATATTCTCAAGGAAAATACAACGTTTTCAAATTCCATTATTCTTGATAGAATATTTATTGAATTGATCTCTTCATGTTTAAATTTTTTTAAATAAACTATAATTAAAAATAAAAATAGATATGATCTATTTTTCATAATTTTGAATTATATTTTGAATTTATATAAACTTGAAATTAATGTTAAATTTACTTATAATGAATATATAACTATAAATAAAAATAGATATATATGACATATCTTTCATAAATTATATATAGAATTTTACTATATGAAAAAATATTAAATTGTTAAAAATTGTAAAAATTTTCTATTATGCAAACCTTAATAATATACAACAGGGTACAAGAAACTACAATTGGGAATGAAGTACAAGCATTGTGATATAGTAATGTAGGACAACAAATACTGCCCTATTCACTTTTATATGCGAGATGCCGTAGTAACGAGTCGTTTTCATTAAACTGTTAATTCAAACAACAATGTATGCAGTCGTTAGCCTTAATCATGATTAAAGAGATGTTGCTAATGCACCATGTACTTGGTCTTACTATACTTGAAATAATTCTCGAATAATTTATTCTAATTCTGGCATATCTTCGAACGTACGTACCTTTCAAAGATATTATTTGACTACTTCGAAGACTAAACTACGACTAACGAATATTTATAGAAGATGATGATAATTTATACACGATATTCTTTCGAAGAACGAAAGAATATTATTACATATGCATTACAATAATGCAACACAATAACTTTTTCAAAATATATACAAATAGTGAAAGTTGATTTGTTAAAATTTCTAATAATTTCGAATGATTTTTTTTTAGGTTAGAACATTGTTTTTCAAATTTTATTTGGTTAACAAAGTTTATTATTAATCTTTTCGCTACCAAAAATGAGATATCAGATTCATGATAAAATGATTATACGATAATATAGGTATTTTACTATGATATGATGGAATATTTCGCGACGTTATGTTTATTGCACAACTTTATCTCTTTTTGACAAGATTGTAATATGTCATTTTTCTACTATGTCCCCAATTAAACTTAGAATAAAATCATTTTATTAATTTATTATATTTATATTTTATAATGTGATATCTTTTTCACGACTATTTTAATAAATTAGTTTTATAAATTTATAAAATCTACAATTTACAAAAGTATTACAACGTATGATGTATATATAATTAATCGAAAATTTGTAGTGAATAATCGATTTATAAAATATTTTGTTATCTGTGAAAGAAACTTAAATGATGATAAAAAAAAAAAAAGAATATTTTATATTTTTTTATCTTTATTTTGTATGAAATGATTTAATGAACAATGAATATAATGTTTATAAAAAAAATAAAAATATAATTTTTTTTTGTCATCTATTGTGTGTATAAATTACACACTGTTTTACAATGCAAAATATCTCATTCTTGGTAGCGATATAAATTTTTTCATTTTTTTATAAATTTTTTTTCTATATTATATTTAATTATATGCACTTTATTGTTCTTATATAAAAAAATATATAATTTAATTTAAAATATTGAAACATTATTCATATTGAAATCATATTGAATCAACTATTAATTAAATATTATTAATAAATTTTATATTCAATATTATCGACATGATATATTATATAATATCAATATTCAATAATATTAAAATATAGGCATTATTTTTATAAAAATATCATTTATTAATAAGTAATTTGTTATAAATTATTATCGTAAAAAAAGAAACTTGCAACATTAATAGAAATAATAATTTTCAAATAAAATATTTAAAAGAATTTATTGATAAAATTTAGATTTGTTTAAAATGCAAAAAGAAATTAAATTCTTTACGAATTTCATTTTATAAATTTTTTTTGTTATTTATTTATTTATTTTAACCACAAATAAAACATTTATTTGCTTCTAAGTATTTTTACTCTGTTCTATTTTTTAAAACAATTATTATTACAAAATTATTACGAAAGAGATTTAAAGAGATTTCACTCTTTCAAATTTACGATATTCGATAAAATAATTAGAAAAGTTTTTATTGAAGAAATATTAATATATTAAATCAAAAAATTAAAAAACATTGAAATTATGTTCGCACAAAATTGACAAAATAGAAATTAGGAAAAAATAAATTGAAAAAATAACGATTGAAACATGTCAATTGATACTTGAAATAATATAATGGCGATCGATTAAATTAACAACAATATCATGCTCGTTATATTTCGAACAAATTAATATTTACTAATAAATGTAATCTCAACGATTAATTTTTTTATTAAATTTTTCCGCAAATAATTATACTATTTTTTGAACATAGATATTATTTGTGATTATAAACATAAGTACTCAACAATGAAATATTAAATATAATATATATATTATATATAAATTTCGAAAATAGTGTTATTTTTATTATAATAATAACATAAAAATATCAAAATAATATAACATAAATAAAACCTCAAGTGAATTAATTAACATTTATAAAAATTATGAAACATTCGGTACGAAGATATATTGCAAAAGAATCATAAATATATTCGAATCATTAGTTTATTAATATTACCTTATATTAATATTTAATTGATATATTTTTTGTTTTCATAATATCTTTAAAATGGTAAATTAATTTTCGTATGACATTTATATTAATAACACTCGATATTTTAATAATTTTTTATTTTAATAATATTGTATTATTTATTTTAATCTCTATTACTATTTTTAATTATTTAATCTTTTTAAAATTTATTTATCTTGTGCATATTTCAATCGAAAAATAAATGTTCAATCAAATTAATGTTTAGGTTATATAGTGGGATGCTTGTTATGTATATATCTTACATATACTATAGTAATATTACAGTAACATTACAATATTACCTTCGAAATGAATTTAAGATATGTATTTTTATTGTTTAATATTTCTATAGAAAGAGAATAATTTATCATATGTTATCATACATATAATTATTAGTCGTCTCAAAAGATATATTCTATCCATACATTATTTATAGAAACTTCTAAGATTTCTAACTTACAGTTCAGTAGAACGTCACAGCTTCTTAATCCGATCGGCCTTCTTGGTATACAATAGCAAGCAAACTTTGAAATACTCTCGATATAAAACACGATTTTGTTTTTATTCTTATTACATTATTATATTTCATTAAAATTCGTTTGTTTCATTGAGCCGTTAATATTAAAAAATTTATTATTAGTTAAAACATCATTCAAAGTCATGAAATCACTAAATCACGAGTATCGGATATCGTATACATATCCTCCCTTCCCTCTGTGTTACTGTTTACTTAATAAGGTCAAAGTTAATGTCTACATACATTCGAATATAGTTAGGCAATATATGTATAAATATTTTTCTTTTACGTTAGAGAAGAGTCAACAAATTTGACAATTTGATGATCACCCACAACGAAAACTTTTCACGCGCCGTTTTTAAATGTTACGCGATAAAGAACACGGAATATAACTTTCAATACACGTCGTATTGAGTTTTGAACAGAAACACAAAGCGACACTCCCGATCTCTGGCGGTATTTTTTAGAATTTTTTTCTTTTTCTCTTCAGAGTGAATAGATATAGTGATTAAGAAAATATTTATACATTATTATATATATCATAAAATTTATATACTAATTAATTATATTCGAGTACATTATATTTTGTATTATTTAATAGTACTTTTATAAGTTTACAAAAATTTGTTTAAATTTTACAAAAAAATGTTTCATCAAAAAGTAAAGGTATTTACAAATACTTTTTGTAATTATTATGTATATATATATATATATATATATATATATATATATATATATGTATTAGATAAATATCTGTTAATTATTAAATAATATTTTATTCTATTCAATAAAAGTGATTTTGATATTGCATTTTAACATACTTCGCAATTTTTGATTACAGATTTATGAGAATAAAAGCCGAAAGGAAACCGAATTATCGATTGTTGCAAAATTACGATACGTTACAGATGCAAATACAAGAAGTTTACGAAACTTTTATCAAGACCAAACAAATTGAATTAAATTCAATAATATTTAAGAAAATAGAAGAACAACAAAAAATAAGATAGCATTTTAAGATTTTGATAAAATCTTCTTCATCATGTTACCAAAACTATTGATTCTCGATTCTTACAAAATCAAAAGATAGTGAAAGTAATGAAATAATAAATATCTTAATTCATATAATGCATATTGAAATCATATAATGCAGAATTGAATTATACAGATATAAAAGTAAAATAACAAAGATAAATTCATTCATTGAGTAAATATTTCTTTAATATAGAAATTAATTAATATATAAAAAGAATTAATATGTATAAATATAATAAAGATAAAAAATAATCAAAAATGGTGACGTAAGAGCTAAATAAAACGAAGAACACTAATGAAGAATCGGGCGAAAAAGTGAAACGAAGGTAGTTGAAAACGATGGAAATAAACCTCGAAGTTTTGAACTACACTAATTACTACAATGCTAGTCAATTATCGAAAAATTTATCGATCGAGGAGAATACGAGAGAACCACTTGAGTGTAAACAAGAAATCAATTCGAGCGGTCTCTTCGATTTCATTATTTATGGTATATTAGTAAATTTGATCGGAATTTTTGGAATATTTGGCAACGCGATCTCGATGATTATTCTTTCGAGGCCGCAAATGAAATCATCGATTAATTATTTGCTAATTGGTCTAGCCAGATGCGACACCATGTTAATTATCATTTCGGTAAGTAATATTATAATATTAATAAATGTGTTAAAAAAATTAATATATTAATATGTTAATAGATAATAGTTAATTAATAAAAAAAATAAAATAAACACGTTTGTAAAAAAATTGTTAACAGTTGATCTTGAAAAGTTTCTAAAAATTTATGCAGGCATTATATTCTAGATACGAGAAAGTAGCTTAAAAGGCTTGCTAAAGTAGAATTTTAAATTATGACTATTTATGAAGTAAATAGAAGATACAGAATTTTTTACACAATAATATATAAACATACGAACATTCCATCATCCACGAATTTATTTATTAACTATATATTCTCTCGGGAATAAAGTTATTTGTATGATGATGAAAATTTTTTGTTAATTTATTGTTTTATTAAAGATATAAAGCTAAATATAGAAATGTAAAGAAATTATAAATTCAAAAAAAAATATTAACACATTATAACAGTGTAAATTTTTCAATACATTTTGATATTCAATAAATTTTTCATTATATATTTTTGATTTCAATAAAAATACTTATTTTTATGCAAAAATCTTTTATAATTTCGAAATTAATATCAAGATTTCTTAAGTGTTCAAATAATTAGTTTTTGACTTCATTTTTAAATATGATTCATTTTTAATGCAATTTGTACATACAAAAAATATTAAATTCAAAAATATTAAATTCAAAAGGAATTTTTCTCCAATTAAATCGGAATATTTTTATTATTTGAGAAAAAATCTTAATTACTTGAAGAGAATTTTTTTTTCATTCTATTTTCAACTGTTTTCATTATTCCGCTTGAAGAATGAACAGAAACAAATAAAATAAGTGAAAAAAAGCTTATGACATTTTCAGATATTGATTTATGGCTTAATCGCAATTTACACATACACTGGCCTGCTGTTCGACTATAGGTTCATCGTCTACCCGAAGATAGTCCGATTCTTATATCCATTATCATGTATGGCACATATAGCAACGGTATATTTGACTCTGACTGTGACACTTGAGAGGTATATCGCAGTATGTCACCCCTTACAAGCTAGATCTTTTTGTACATATGGACGAGCTCGATTAGCTGTGGTGATTATTTTGATATTTTCCTTTTTTTACAATTTACCAAAGTAAGTAATTTTGATATTCATTAGATTGAAGTTTGAATAATTCTGTTAATATACTTATAAATAAATAATTTTTTTTTTTCTACAGATTTTGGGAAGTAGAGTACTACACAGAAACTCATTGGAAATACAATGTTACTGTATATTGCGTGTATCCAGCTGATTTAAGAAGCAACAATTTATATGTCACACTTTACGTCCATTGGATGTATTTCTTTATTTGTTACCTTTTTCCTTTCCTTGCTTTAGTGATCTTCAATGTAGCTATTTATCGAAGAGTAAGTAAAATAATCTTCTTCTTGTATTGTTTAAAATTTAAAAATGCGCAAAAATTTGATACCGAATACTTTCATATCAATAGAATCATGTAAATTCAACATGTTTAAAAAAAAAATTCTTTTAACTATTATTATAAAGTTTTCTAAAATTTTTATTCAGCATATTGTATATTTTATTTTCTTCATGAATATTATATCTGAAAGCAAACAGTTTAAAAAAAACGAATTTCTTCAATTAATTCTTTTATTAACAAATTTAATAAAATATGGAATGTGTTTTAATAAGAGATACAATTTTTTTTTATAAAATATTTTTATAAAATCATAATATCATCGAAAATATTATCTTTGCAATTTAACTTCAAAAATCAAATAAATTTTTTTGTTTAATTATATATATATATAAATATTATATATATATATATAAATTAATTATTCTTATAAAAATTATATAAGTAATAAAAATATATTTGAAAAATAAATAAAAATATATTTGAAATTACTGCATACATCATCATTCATTATTTGATAAATCAAATCGTTCGAAATACAATAATATTTTATCAATAAAAATATTAATTAACTTAACATTATTAAATAAGCAAAGTTATATTTTAACGCGAAATTTAAATCCAGCACCATTTATTTAAATTATTTAGGTATTATATTCAAGTAGCAGATAAAAATTATAATATGAATGGATCATTACAACATATTACCACAAAGACAAAAAAAGAAAAAAGTAAATTTATAAATACATAGATAATTTAACTAGAATGTATGCTTTAGAGTGGAACTATGAGTACACGTTTTATTTATCTTCTTCTTGGGCAATTTATCTTCTTTTTTTTTTAAATTTATTCATTCAAAAGCTCACGAAAGCAAATATGCTTTATTTTATTACAATTAAGAGAACTTTTTATATCACTTATACACGATGCAATTTGTGTAAATCATTTCTTTAATGAATATGAATATGATACTAATTTTAAGAATTGTTAACAAAAAAATAAATAATAAACTCTTTTATTTAAAAAGTAAAAAAAATAATAAATTATTAATTTAATAATTTAAAAATTATTATTTTAATTGTAGATTTAGGTTTAATATCTTACTTTTAATGTTTTTTTTTTTTTTAATTTCTTAGTGCTTTCATATTTTTAAACAATAGTATTATGTCTTTAAATTTTTATGATTTATCACTATAATATTTTTTAAAAAAATTTTTATAATTAAATAGATAAAGTTAAAATTGACAACAATAAAATAGAAAAAAGTAATAAATGGAAAAATAACTTTATTTGTATTTTTTATTATTTAAAACTAAAAAAAAGAAAACATTATAAAAGTCAATAACAAAATAAAAATAATAGTTTAAAAAATGCATAAGATTTAGATTATTCTTAATGAATGCTCCATATTTTTTTATAAATCAGTAAAGAGAAAGAAAACTGAAAAAAATAATAAAATACAAAAGTGATAACAAAGCTATTATGCTGTCTGATTCTATTTAAAGCTTGCATATTTTTCGCAAATTTATTATATTTATTAAAATAATATATAGGTCATGCAACAATCTAAAAAAATAAAAATATTCAGTCATTACTGCACTATTCTACTTTTAGAATAAACTTTAATTATTTCTTAATTTATTTTTTCTTTTATATTTTTTTAATTTTTATTTATATTTCTATTATAATTTTCGATAAATATTTCTATAATAAAAAATATTTATGTTTTTTACAATTCGTTTCGTTACAATTTTTTACAATTACAGAAAAATAAATTTTTTTTCTATAATTTTTAGTTTTTATGTTTATTTCAATTCAAATAAAATTAAAAATTTATTATATTAAAAAAATTAATTAAAGATGTTAATAAAAAAAATTTTTAATACTATTAATAAAATTATATCATTTTTCAGGTGAGAAAAGCGAACAGAGATTTGCAACAGCTTTCACGACATCAGAGACGTGAAATTGGATTAGCAACAATGTTACTTTGTGTGGTGATTGTTTTCCTAATTTGCAACATCCTACCACTTGCTTCAAATATTCATGAGACTTTCCTCAATGATCCACCACTTTGGCTAGTACAGACAGGCAATCTTCTTGTGACAATTAATAGTAGTATCAATTTCATTATCTACGTGATCTTCGGTAGAAAATTCAAGAGGATATTTCTAAAGTTATTTTGCAGTTCAAAACTATTCGGACCTGGAAGAGATAGTCCAGAATTCCATTATGACGAATCAATCGTTACTAATATGACCAATATAGAAAGAAACTCTATCAGACATTGTCACCTTAACAGATCGAGTACTATCAATAGAAATAACAATATTTCAAATGGTAGTACACGACAGAGTGTCAAAATGTCGGGAAGACCTGCCAGTCCAGGACCTTGTATTTATTATCCTGCAAGAAGTCCTAGTCAGATATCCAGAACATCGAACACGCAAAATGGATGGAATAAAAAAGATGTAGATTCTACGCTATAAAAAATTTTAAATAATTTAATTTCAATAAATCGACCAGTTATTAATCAACAACGAATACTTCTTTATTAGGCAAAATAAAATGAGAAAATTTTTTACAAATGAAAACCATTTGAATCGAATACATTCGATTAAGTTTGAAAGTATAGATGTTTATCTTTATCATCGATAAATATTAATATTCAAATAAAATCATCGAATAATTTTAAATTTATTTTTATATGCTATTAAATCTAATAATAATCCTATTAACTTAATATAAACTAGAAATATCTTAAAAAATAAATTCATAATTGATTAATGATTTGATTTGATTAAATTTTTATTAGAATTGAATAATTATTGACATTACAAGTGCGATATATTTTATTATATTCATAAAATTGCTTCATAATGTATATATTGTATAAGAAGCATTTGATCAAAATAAAAAATTATAATATGTAAAATTATTATGTTTAAAAACATAATAAATATATTTAAAACGAAAATAAAATTCAAAAAATATAATTGTCGATATCAAAAAATATTTAGAAAAAAAATATTGTGATAATAAACCTAATATTAATTAGTGTGTGTTTATGTATCTATTACAAAACATATAAAACAAATGATCACCTTATGTAAAAATAAAATTGTTTAATATAAATAGACAATATAATCTTTATGTAAAAAAAAATTTTTTTCCTTTTTCATTAAAACGCACGAAGATTTTAGAAAATTGTAAATACATTCATAAACTATATTATTTTAATATTTGTTATATAATAACAATTATATTAAGTTAATAAAATTTTTCATTCACATACACTTGATGTATGAAAAACAAAATATATCCAATAATATTAAATAATAATTATTTTTTTAAAAAAATAATTTGTGGAAAAATAAATGATCAAAAAAATATTAAAATATTGGAATTATAATTTTTTAATAAAATTTGAACATAATATTATGCAAAATTTGTTTATTCATTTCTGAAATAATTAAAAATAATATTGTAAATAAATATTCAAATTCAATTTAAATAAAAGTTAATTCATTTTTATATTGAAAAATAATAAATAAAAAGATAAGTAAATATTTAGATCGTATAGATTCGAATGAATTCGAATGTTTCGAAATATTATTTATAATAAAATATTTATAATAAAATATTTATATGTGTGTGCGCGAGTGTCTGTTGTCTGTCGAAATATCAAACACATAAAAATATTATATTTATTATAATTCGCTTATTATTCTAAAATACTAAGGTATATTATGCTTATCAAAATTATACAAAATTAAATAACAAATGATATTTATGTTTATCATTATAAGATATGTCTTATCTTTATATAAAATAAATACATTCTATACATTCTTCATTGATATTCTTTATTCAAAATATAATAAAATAAAAAAATATATATGTTTTAATATATTTTTATTTTAAAAAATATTTTTTATAAAAATCTTACGCCTTAGTAGTTTAGAATGTAATATAAATATGTACCTGAAATCATTTATTATAAGTAAATTTTTTAGATTCTTTTATATTCTTTCGAAATAAATTCTTCTATAATTCTTCTATTTCGTATAATTTTGTTAAATATATTTAACATATTGAAAGAAGCATATTAGATATTAAATGTATATTTCGTTCCATTTCTTGTAACTTGTAACAAGCAAGCACATAAATTTTTATAGTTAATATAAAATGTTACAAATAACATATAAATATAGTAAATAAATTAAATTTAATTTTCAATATATATTAAATAAAAATAAGTATAATTGATTTGATGATCATTTTTTTATGTATTTAGATTGATTTAAATTGAAAACATAAAAATATTATGAAATAATGAAATTGTATTATTTTTAAAATATCTATACAAGAATATAGAATCAAATAGAGGGAAAAAAAACGCTCTCATAGTTATATGATAAAAATTAATATGAATCATATAGATATATATGTTGTATTTTAATCCCAAAACTTCAATTAATAAATAATTAAATTCAAAATTCTTGTGATTTTATAATAAAAATAATCATAAATTTTATTAATACAAATTAATTATATGGTTTCTTCTTTAATGAATTTATTTATTTTATTTTTTCATGATGTACATCTATATTATGACTTTTATCTATAAATGTTCTAATTAGCTTTCACTAATTTAATATATTTTTTATATTATATTTTAATAATACTCTATATCAATTATAATTATATATTATAAATTTACAGAAAACAATTTATAAAAATAATAGAGATATATAATGAAATTTTTATATTTACATATTTATTTAATTTATACATAGCATTTCAAATTTTCAAGAACATTAAATTATATATTTAAATTAATTAAATTAATATATTTTTTCATGCTATTTAGCATGATAAATAATAATAATATACAATAGGACATTATTAATTATGAATAATCAATCATTATTAATCTATGAATAATGAATAATTTTTTATTCCTAATAAAAGTAATATAACACAAAAATTATTATTACATAATATGTCTATATCATTTAATATTGAAATCACTTTTCAGATACTTGCTTACTTTTTTTTGGTTTAAAGTACAAATATAAACCTAAAGCAACTAATCCACCAATAGTTGTTAAAGCTACCTGTAAAAAAAAGAATAAAATGAAATTAAGATTTATATATAACTTTTAAGATTTTTAGAAAACCACGCTATAAAACGTAAATTTTGAGGTTACTTACATTTGCTCGACCTTGTGTAGTACTACTATTATAATATTTTGCAAAGCCAGTTAATTTTGGCTCTGGATCAGTTGAACTTGCCATTATATTTAAAAAAAAAATCAAAGTATTTAATATAAAATTCAAAGTAAAATATCACTTATCGCTTTGATATAATTCGAATCAATGCAAGTTCCTCCTTACGTTTTTTACTTAAGTCTAAAAAGCATCACTAGAGGGTGCATATGATACTTGGCGGTATAAAAGAATCATATTAATAATTCTTATTTCAAAAATTTTTCAAATGTTTCGTAATTAGCTACGTTCTTAAGCTATTTGAATTTAAATTAATATCAAAATTGAACTTAATATTCATGTTAAATATCTTCATCAAATATTTAAAAAGGAATGGATATTTAAAGGAAAAAAAAAATGCAAATATTTAACATGCATAAAATTTGTCATTTATATTTCAATATCTAAATAATTTTTATATTTGTTTCATGATAAAAAATAAATTATAATGAAATTTTTGATTTATATATAATTGTAAAATACAATAGAACTTTATTTACTGAAGTGAAATTTTATTTAATATTTGATTAAATAAAATCTTGCCAATTAAATCCATATTTGAACATAAATTTCTATTCTTAAGAACGAAAAATAGTTAGATATATAGATAGTTTATAAACTATTATATGATCTATTTGTCCTCCAATGAATTTAAATAAATGAACTTTTACTGTATATCAATGACTTAATCTTCATATAATCACAATATAATTACATATAAATCATATGTTGAAAAAATATATTGTTATTTTTCTTAAATTATTCATCTTACATAACTTGTATAAGTAACAAAATATGTAAATATAAGTATTACAAAAATTAGATTAATACCTAATATACATATTATAGTTACATATTATTTAAAATATATATAGCACTTATTCAATTATTGCCCATTTCAATATTATATTTAAATAGTTTATATGCATTGGTAATTAACTAAAAAAAAATCGTTATATATAATATATATAAAATATAATAATAATAATAATAATAATAATATATAATATTTACCCAAATTTTATGTACATTTGAATCATTTAAAAATATTTCATTTATAAAAATATCAGCAATATCTTTTTGTGAAATAATTTCCAATTTATGTAATATTTTTAAAGCTAATTTCAAAGACATTAAATATAGTTTATTAGTACCATTTACTATATCATATGTTGCTTTTGACATTGTGCTAAAAGAATTATAGTTTTATATTTATCAAATAAAAAGCATTAGTTTTAATAAAATTTATAATGATTACCTGTTAGTTTTTATGAATTGTAGAGAATTCTTAGTTCTATCAATTTCTTTAAATTGTACACGTATATTGAATGTATGTAATAAGTTTATCATATCTAAAATTTTTTCTGATTCATTAAATATTTCAATAAATTCATCTACTAATAAATATCCTTCTTCTTGATAGTGAAATATATGCACTATCTGTTTAGGTAATGCTAGAAAAATGATAGAAAAATTATATCTGTTACTTAGAGAATATAAAAAATATAACTAATTAATTAATTTGTATAATAAAACGTACCAACTACTTGAAATAATATTTTATGATTTAGAGATAAATATTCTGGAATACATGTGGCATTTTCAATAGTATTTAATTCAGTTTTTTTTGAATATGAATTTTTCATTTCCATAGCATTGGCATTAACTTCAAAATTTAAAATATTTTCATAATTATTTTCCTGTTGAATCTTATTACATATTCCTTTTTCATCATTATTTTCAGAATAATACATTTTATTACAATTTTTTAATTGAGTAGTATCTTTGAGTGGTTTACATAATATTTTAGTAGATATATTATTTACTTTATTTGAATTTGTTATTGATTTTTGATTATATTGCACTTCATTAAGTTCTATTATTGGAGATGAACTATATAATGTATGAGAAGTAGATGTATGTGTTAAATGTTTTCCATTAATATTCGTATTTGCTAATGTAGAATATTCTGAACTATGCTCATGCAATAAAGTTGAAGATATATAATTACTTGAATCATAATTTGGAAAAAATGTAATATTTTCATTAATAGTTTTACAATTTGGAATTTCTCCTGATACAACAAACTCAGTATGTTTTTTCCATAAAGATTGATTAAAATTAGAAGTATCAATTGTAATTGGCTCATGTTTGTATGCATTTTCAACATATTGTAAATTACTATCAATAAGAGTTTTCTTTGACGGTGAAAAACAATGTTTCTCCATTTCTTTATTACGAATATTATGTTGTACAGCTTGATCATCAGTAGTAATTTTGGATGTTGTATTAATAACTTCATCTACATTTAAAGATTTTGCATTTAATGTAAATGATTTTTCCATTTCTTTATTACAAATACTATGTTGTGTAATTTGATTGTCAGTAGTAATTTTGGATGTTGTATTAATAACTTCATCTATATTCCAATTAAAAGATTTTGTATTTAATATAAATGATTTTTCCATTTCTTTATTACAAATACTATGTTGTGTAATTTCATCATCAATAGTAATTTTAGACGTTGTATTTATAACTTCATCTACATTTAAATTAAAAGATTTTTCATTTAATGCAAATGAATCATTATGATTAAGTTGATTTGTGCAATTAATCTTGGAATTATCATTCTCACAGTTTATCGAATCATGCTCTTTCACAATCGCATCGCAATTTTTATGTAGAACATGTAATAATTCATCTTCATTAGAACATGAAGAATTTTCTTCTTGCGTATCAAGTATTTGTAATTTACCTGCTAAACTAAGTCTAAAAGGATTTGTTTCTTTCAAAGATGTTTTATCATTTATTGAATCTTCTATAGATATTTGATCAGAATCAATATTATTTCCAAAAGATTTACAATTATATTTTTCAAATCCTAGAGGAATATCTGATATCTCTTGATTTGATAAAGATTGATTTATTGTATCAAAAACATTATTTGTAGACATTAAAAAATTTTGAATATTAGAATTTTGAAAATAATCAGTATAAGATGATTGCTGATTTATAGCAGTATTTTTTTCTCTATTAATATTTTCATTTGAAAAAAATATATTTTTTTGTGTATTTGTAATGTTTGTACTTGAGGAATCTGTAAATATTGGCATTCTTTTATTAGCATGTAAAAATGCATTTTTTATTATATTTAAAGTACTTTCATTACTCGTTAAATTATCATTTACATTTTTTGTAGAATCTATTACTTTATTAAGAAGTATATTAAGTGTTGCACTTATTTGCATTTGTATTTGCATGTTTTCTTGCCATAACTGCATAAATTTTTGAGGACTTATATCATCATTAAGTTGATCATAAAGAGATTCATCTTGTATAAATGGATTAGTATTATTCTTATTAAAAGTAGATATATTAGATGTTGAATTATTTTGAAAAGTATGATCTTGAATGTCTTCTTCTATTAGTAACTTTTTTTGTTCATCAAGTGATATGCAGTCTGATGAAGGTTTAAAAAGCTCATCATTTAAAGTACTTTGTGGTGATATCAAAGGCATATTAATAGCATTATCAGATAAATTTTCATTATCATTAGATGTATTAGTTTCTTCTTCTTCATAAAATTGTTCCGGTGATAATATTAAATTTTCTTCCACATAAAGCAACAAATTACTCATATCAACTTTATCTACCTAATTAAAAAACAATAAAAAAACATCAAATAATGTTCTAATACATGCATTTATGTATTTATTATTTAGCACATATCCCTTTAAATTAATTAGTTTGGGAAAAATTATCACTTTATGAGTTATTACAGAAATTATAAAACTATTGGTATATAGTGAAATGTAGACAGTTGATTTTTTATCTAAATATTTTTATTGTAACAAAAATAATACAAGATTTTCCATAACATAAAGGTCGTATTTTTCCCAAAAAACATAAAAAAGAATCTGTTATATTAAGTTATATAAATACAATACTGTAATTAAATAATTACAGTAAATAAATGTATAGTAAATTGAAAGATAAATGCAATCATAATTAATATCATAAATTAATAACAATCATAAGCTATTGATATACTCATGCATAGAACTGTAAGATAATTTATAAAAGTATTGAAAATCTTAAATTATAAAAATTATTTGCGAAATAATTTTGAAATTTGACAATTTTTTAAATTCTAATTCATCTAATAATTGTTATAAAATTAAAATGCATATTTTTGATGAAAATAAAAAAATATATTCAAATTCTATTTTATTTTTTAAACAAAAGTCAGACATTTTATTAATCTAAAAATATATCATATAAATGATATGTTTCAACATTTAAAATATTTTAATAAATTTTAATAAATTTATGATCGCGCTACATTAATTCTTCGTTAATTAATTGTAACTAATGTGTATGCGCTCATTTATGGAAAAAAATTGATCTTCCAATTTTTCTTAAAAATATACCTTTTTCAATGATTAGATATGATTCTAATCATGGCTAGTTAATAAATTTTATTGTTCATTTTTATTGTATCGTTTTCATCTATCATAACAATAATAATGTACAATAATATTTTACAATCATTAAGTATTATACTATTATTATTATTTAGAATATTTTAAAATAAATGTTTGATGGAATTCTTTCATATAAACATAAATTCCTATTAACTAAACTAAAAATCATAAATGATTAAATATATAAATGATTCATAAATTATATCATATATTTAATTATACACAATGTATAAAAAAAAAAAAAAAACAAAAGTAAAAACTAGTTTAAATTTAAAAAATCAGAAAACTCAAATTATTCTATAAATATAAATAAATATTTTATTTAATAATTTTTCTGCATTTTTTTTTTCAATATTATTGTAGAGTTTTTTTGTAAAAATTTTATTTCATCACTAAACAAAATTTCAATTGAGCGAGCTCGAAAAAAATATACTTTTTCATATATGTTTTCCTGATTAATGTTTGATTTGAGTAATAAAATAAAGTTTTTTTACAAAAAATCCAAAATAATATTAGATAATTACAAATAAAAATATTTTAATTAAAATTTAAAAATTTGTATTATTCAATATTTATTTCTCAACAATCTTTTTGCATTAATTTTGCTTTATTTAACATTTCTACTAATGTTTTTGCTTTACCTTGTAATTTGTACGATATAGTATTATTTAAATTAAATATATATTTATTATTTAATTCTGAAGTCACTTCAGAATCTATTACAGGCATCTGAGTTTCATATTTTATACATTGATTCATTACATTTTCTGTTTTATTTTGATTAGCTATTTTATCTGTAGCATATATAATTTCATGAGTATCACTTTCTGCATCTTCATAAATTTGAATATCAGTGATTTTATTTGAGTTTTGATTATCTGAATATATAACTTCATGATTAGCTTTTGCATCTTCATATATTTTTATATTGCTTGTATCTTCAATTGACTCAGAATCATTTATTTCTTCTATTTTTAGATGTGAATTAAATTCTTTATGATCAAATTGATTCTGATTATTTTCATTAAATGATTTTTTAAGAAGATTACAAACATCAGCATATGATACTTGAATATCCCATTCTTCTTCATCAGAATCTATATTAATATCATTTAAAATTGGTATGTTAGAAATTTCAGAGGATTCTTTTATAAATGACATTTGTGTTTGTGTGATTTCTTCACTTAAAATTGATTTTTCTTTTAATGATTCTTTTGATTCTTTTTTTTCTACATCTAATGATTTTTCTACAGAATTACATTTTTTTATCAAATCAGACTCTTCTCTTAATGTAATTTGTTGTGATAATGTTGAATCCGATGACGTATATTCCATTAATTCTAAATTGTTTACAAATTCAGATGATTTTAATGAAGTTATCGGGGTTTCTTCCTCATATACATTCAAATTATTATTCATAAATTCTGATGTTGGTTCTTTTATTATTTGTGATGATATTTCTATTTGTTTTATTTCTTCATTTAATATTAGTTTTTCTTTTAATAATATTTCTGATTCTTTTTTTTCTACATCTAATAATTTTTCTATAGAATTATATCTTTTTATTAAATCAGACTCTTCTATTAATGTAATTTTTTGTGATAATGTTGAATCTGATGACACATATTCTGTTAATTCTAAATTGTTTACAAATTCGGATGATTTTGATGAAGTTACTGGAATTTCTTCCTCATTTATATCTAAATTACTAATCATAAATGATTTTGATATTAGTTTTTTAGATGATATTTGTGTTTGTGTGATTTCTTCATTTAATATTGATTCTTCTTTTAATAATTGTTCTGATTTTTTTATTTCCATATCTAATAATGGTTTTTCTGAAGAATTATATTTTTTTATTAAATCGAATTCTTCTGTTAATGTACTTTGTTGTGATAATATTGAATCTGATGGCACATATTCTACTAATTCTGTATTGTTTGCAAATAAACTTTTTGATGAAGTTTCTGAAAATTCTTTCTTATATAAATCTAAATCATTATTCATAGATTTAAGTGACTCTTGTGTGTATAAATCTGTTATATCTGCTTCAACAGAATATGGAAGACATTTAGGGCGAATTTTCGAATTCGGGGATTCATTTGATGTATCTTCATTATTTATATCATTTTTATATACTTCTTTTGTATATTTATCATTATTATTATGATTATTATCTTCAGATAATATAGATTCTTGTGATGTGCTTAAATCATCTGAATCTATGTTTAAAATATCGCTTGATATATCTTTTAATGACAATAATTTTTCTAATAATTTCCTTTTAGGAATTGCTTTCATACAAATATAATCATTCTGTTTGTAATCTTCTGAATGTATTTTAAAATTTGTATTATGAAATATATCATTGTTACTTGTATATTTTGAATTATTAACATTATCAATTTCTTGTAAATTAATTGATTGAATTTCTTCTATATTTTTAGGTACATTAGGTAATTTTTCAGAGAATTTTTCATCTGTTAACGTTTCCAATATTTTCTGAGGTATAACAATTGTCATATTATTTGAGATATTTTTTTTACGTTTTTCAATATTTTTTATAATTAACGGAGATACATCTGACATTTTATTAATATTCCCAGCTGATGTCCATTGTATATCTTTATCATTCAAAGTTGAATAAGAACTATTATATACTGCTTTTATAAAACAATTTTCAGCTATTGGTATATTTTTTTTTCGAAAACTTGTTTCATGTGGTACCTTAATTACATTTTCTTGTGAATATTTTTTTTCTTGTTTTTTGTTAAGAACAGACCAATCTGTATATTCTGTTTTATATATTTCATTGCATGTACCAATAGACTTTCTAATATCATTAAAATCTAATTCATCTTCTGAAGTATGTACATCAAAATGGTAAGCATATTGTTTTGGAATATTATTATGTTTTTGTAAAATATCGTATTTGTTATCTATTATCACATCATTATTTTTTCTGTTTCTAGCAGATAAAATAATTGATGAAGTATCAGTATTTGATACATCATTATTTTTTGTTTTTTTAGCAGATAGAGTAATCAATGAAGTATCATTTGACATATCACTATTTTCTTTGGTTTTAGCAGATAGAGATAAAGTATCAGTATTTCTACTGATATCAGAGATATCATTTTTTATATTTTTAACAACTGATGAAATATTAGATTTAGTACTATCAGATTTTTCGTACAATTTTTTTACAATAGGATTACTTAATATGAAACTAGATTCTAAATATCTTTCATTTCCTCTCTCTTTAATTTTATTAATATGATTATTATTATTACTTTTAGAATGAATAGATTTTATTTTAAGATTTAATAATTCATACAAAGATTCTATTTTTTTTGTATTTTTTTTTTCAGAATTTATTGTAAAGCTATTTATTTTTTCATTTGAAAAATCATTTTTGCAAGAGTGATTATATTCAAGAGATTGTGATTTCTTGGCTTTTTCTTTATATAATATTAATTCATTATATGAATTTTCTTTATTATTATTTACTTTTTTATAATTATTATTATGAGATAAATTCCCATCAAAATTTAAATTATATAGTAGTGTTTTATTTTCAGAATTTATTTCCATTTCGCGAGTATTACTAAATTTATATTGTTTAAAACGTTTTTGACATTCTAAATAATATTGAAATGGAAAATTTCGTTTTTTCATACAAACCATTTTTCCATGTTCTGCTAAATTCTGTTCAACTAACCAATCATTAATATGTACATCTTCTTCTTCCAATGTATCAGTCAAACTTATTATCATAGAATTATCCTAAAATAAAAAATAACTAATGAATGATTGAATTAATAATTGTTTTTAAAAAAATTAATAAAAATATAATTAAAGTAAATATCATTTAAATTTTTTATATTTATATTAATAATATTCTTACCTCTATATTAACTGATGCAATTGTTGCAACTAAAGGTATTTTAGATGTTCTTACTGCAAAATAATAAGTAGCACCACGAGACCATTTAGATCCTTTATATGGTCTTGTATTAATTAAACCACATGGTATTGCTTGAGCTGGTAAATTGGAAAACATTCTATGCAAGTAATATACTGTTCCTGGAGAATATGTTTTTAATGTTCCATAGTCATAAAACATTACCTATAATAAATTGTTATCAACTATGATTATTACATACAATTACAATAATCTCAATCAGTTATGTATATACTTACAGTGACTTGTAAATCTGGTTTTACACTTTTGATTATACCTCTATGCCATAACCCATTATATATACATGCGCAATTTAAACCTCTTTCTAGTACAACTAGTGGAATCACATATTGCTCATGATTTATTGTATAAAATTTACTGTAAAAAAGCAATTATTAATATAGATTTATTAATATAGATATTATGAATTATAATGATTATAATTATTAATAAATATGAATAATGAATTATAATACAATTATAATAATATAAGCATTATTTTAATCATACATACTGTAAGTCATCCATAAACTTTATAAATATTTTTTGTTTTTTACGAAGTTGTATCCAAAAAAATGAAGGTGTAAATACTTCTACAACAAAAACTTCTATGAAAGGTTCCTCATTTTGTGCTAAATCTGCAACATTTATGTAACCTACATATTCTCCAATACTCATTACATTATCTGGTATTAATATTTTACATGTATCAGGTGACTAAAAATTTAATATTATCAAATTAATGTTATTGAATTTTAATCAATAATTAGTAAAATCTTTATATTCAAAGAAAAATCTTTACCACTTCTGCTGGAAGTGCTTCTTCATCAATTGTTTCATAAATATTATACCAATCTGTAATATTATTAATTTTATCATTCTCTTTTATTTTATTTGAAGGTATTTCTCTTTTTGCATAATAAAGCATAAAATCTCCTGCATTATGAGGCTGAATGCAATGAAAGATATCAGGTAATTGTGATGCAAATTCTCTAACACTATTAAAACCTAATTCTTCATAATTCAAAGATACTTTATATTCTTCTAGATATTTCTTTGGTAGATCAGCACACCAAATTCCATCATGATGATTTTGTATAAGTTTTTCCAAACGAAATTTGATTCTTTCATTTATAAGTATTTCAACATTTTTTTTATCTAAAACATTTTCTTCATCCTTTTCAATACTATTATTCAATTTCATCTGAATTTGAGTATCATTATTATGTTGAATTTTTGGAGTTTCATTCTGGAGACATTCTGTCTCTTGATCTTGATATTTAAATACAGTTTCTTTTATAAAGCTTGATGTAGATTTGCTTTTAATTGATTTTGAATAAAAAGAATCAGAATGTGAAAACTCTAAAATATCTTCTTCATCATAATTTAATATATCATTTGAATCTTCATCTCCAGCAACAGTTACAGATAATGATTTATATTTTTCTCCATTTTGAGATTTAGAATTAGAAGTCATATTATTATAATTTTTTAAGTGATTAAATCCTTTAACTTTAGCATGTATTGGATAAATTTTAGTACTTGTTTGAAAAATCGTATGTGATAATTCCTGTAATTGCTCTTCCATGTCTTTCATAGTAATGTTTGCAAAAGGCATGCACAAATGAATTTCTTGAAGGACATAATATTTATTTACGCCATCTGGATGATCATTAACTAAACTGATTATCCTACTTAATATCTCAGCTGGTATACGAATTCGAGGAGGAGCAGTTGTAGGAAAATAATGATTTGGTTTATAAAATTTTCTTCCAAAAAATGGTTTCTGACATTTTTGACCAGCTACTAATTTACTAACATGTTTGGATTTTTCAGAAGCAATTCCTTGTATAATAAATGTATTATTTTTATTTTCTATTTGAACTGTTTTTGACATACTATATAGAAAAGCTAACAAAGAGCTATATCCAAGTTCTTTCCATGGTATATGTTCACCTTCTGTTTCATAATAATCATTATTTAACTGCCGTAGAGTACATCCTCCTTTATGTGTAAGTAATAATGCTAATATTGTAGTTTGAGTATTCTCACGTTTTTGTGAATTTACTTGCATTTTAAAATATTTAATTTAATTAAATAATCTATGATTTCTATCAACCACTCACCTATAAATATTCCACTCTGTAAATAAGTTGAATAATTTTTTATATTTTTTATATTTTAATATACAAAAAATTATTTGAACATTAAATAATTTTTAAAATCAAACTCACAAAAATTGTAAACAATAGATAATTTATTAATTTATTTTTAATTATAATATTTGCCTAATGTGATAAAAATTTTTAAAATATTTATATTAAATATTGAATTTTTTACTACAATTTAATTTAGATTTAAATTATATCAAAAGTTTTTTAAATTCACGAAAGAACCAAACACCACACTACTAAGTACTCGAAAAACTAACCTACCTGTAAAATAGACAATAGTCAGTACAATTCAAAACCTTATATCTCTCTCTATTTGCCGCGCAAACTATCAAAATATTTACGATAATATTATAATTGAACTTTTAAAAATATGAAGTTATATATTAAAAAAGTTACAATGATATATTTAAAAAAACATTTTAAGTATTAAAATTTATAATTTAATATTTATATTGAAATTAATATAAAACCATAACACAAATATTAAATACATGTCGAAAAAAAATATACTATATTATAGCCAATCAGCAACTATCTTTTCTTATCGATTTATATATGATTTCATACAGATTTAGAAAAATTTGAATATTATAATAAAATATTTTAAATATTATTGATTTCATACAAAAAATATTAGTATAGAAAATTAATGCATAATATTTAAAATTTGAATAAATTGTCTTAATATTTTCAATTAAATACTTAAATATAAAATTATTTAAGTATCATCAATATTATTAATCAATACTATTATTATACAAATCATAAATATAATTTTATTCAATTAAAATAAAAAATTAATATTATTTTTATTAATTAAAAAATAAGACTAAGAGCACTAATTAAAAATTTAAAAGAGAATTTCATATATAATATTTTGTAGATTGTCACGACCTCATACGTAGAAGTTCATATTTATTTAGTCTACATAAAATAATACGAGAAACATAAACATCTCTAAATTTCAATGTTTATTAAAACTAATAATATATATACAAATATTGTACGTTTTATATATAGTTACATAAAAAGTGTTATTTTTTTTAATAATATACAAATAATTATAACAATAATTATTAATAAAAATTATATTCGTTTATGTGAGTGCAACAAAATAAAAGAACTTATTAATAATAGGAAATGGGAAAAAATTAAAAACGTTTAACATAAAAGGTTTTATTCTAATTTTATTAATAGAAACTAAACTTTCTTTTTTTTTTATTATAATTTCTAATATCTTTTTAGAAATAAATCTTGTATAAATGATTCAAATAAATTCGATAAAAATTTTTCTTTTAAAATTTATTTCTAACTATTCTGAATTTTTTAGCTATTTTTAAAAAAAAATTGAAATTACTTTTTGATATGTATAACATATCATACATATATTGTTAATTAATTGTTTTTGCAAGTTTTTAATAATACTTAAATCTAATAAAATTTATAAAAATAATTTTTAGCGATATACAAAATTGTATTATTCTGTTGTAATGTGAATTTTTATTCATTTTATGTTTACATTTTTTAATTTATAATGAAAAAATCATTTTTTATGATCTATACTTTTTATATTTATATTAATAACCAAATATATTAGTTTTTTCTTTATTAATTATTTTCTAATCGTAATTCTCTTATCTATTTGTTGATTAATTATATTTTTCTCTAATAATAGAAAAAATATATAATTAGCTATAATTAGAATATAAATCTTTTTTATTTGAAAATATTTTTATTTTTTATCTTATATTTTCACAAGCGAATATTATTCAATAGTAGATGTTTATTTTTTATAATAATAATTTTTTAATAAAATTTTTATTTTCTTTTAAATTTTCTTCTTTTTTTAAATATTTATAAATTTTTTTTTTATTATTTTTAAATTTCAATTTTTAAAATTAAGCATTTCATATAATATTTATTAAACTTATAATATGTAGACAATTTTTATTTTTTGATGTAATTTTTAATATTTTTAAATAAATTTTTGCTTATCTTTTTAAATATTTTAGACATATTTTTGTCTTTTTACTTTAGTTTAAAATTATTTTTATTTTATTTTTATTTAATTTAACTTTTTAATTTAACTTTTAACTTTCTATTCTATTTTAACATATAAAAATTAATATTTTAAAAATAATTTTTAAATTATTTGATATTTTATGATATTTTATGATATTTAAATTTTATGATATTTTCATACCAATTTTTTAATATAAATAGAGATAATTATTGAAAAATAATAAAAATAATAATAGTGAAAAATAGTTAATTTCTCGATTATTATTACAAAAAAATATATGTATTTTGTATAATAATATAAAAATAATTGTATATATCATTTTAAGAAATATTAAAAATTTAGATTGTGTCTTATCATTTTGTTATACAATGTATTTAATTA